GAGGCAGCTGTGATGTTTCTCTCTCATCGATGTTTCTAACTTTCTATCCCTCTCCCTCCCTCTCTGTAAAAAATGAATAAAATGTATTTAAAACACACACACACACACACACAAACAAGATGCATGTATGACGGTGTCACCTGGCTTCTGTTCCCAGGGTAGAGGAGAGGCAGAGGGTATCAAAGTGACAGAGAAGCAGCTGACTGTGCAGAAGGGCTCGGTGCTGGCCTATAAGAGGAAGCAGCTGGTTTTCCATGAGAAAGACTGGGGTAAGCAAAGGCTGAAGGAGGTGGTGGGGTATGGGGTCCTGCTTCTCCTGGGAAGATAAGTGAAAAGGGGAGACCATCATCAGACAACCTTGGCCTCTCTACCTGTTCAGAGAGAAGCAGCATTTCCCAGCTGTCCAGGGCACACATCACCACTAACCACAGCCACCACCAAGCAAGATCCCACTGAATTGTTGCTCTGGGAGGCAGGGACAGAAGGGGTCCCCAATGTGGAAGTATGCTTAGCGCTGTGTGAAGCATGATCTTATAACCACCCATCTCTATTCAAGGTTCCCCCCACTCTCAGCAGGTCACCTGGGGAAGCCACAGAGACCTCCCAGGTTACCCATAACCCCACAGTAAAGGCCATAACATATCGGCACAACTACGCACAAAACTGCAGAGGCAGAGCTAACCATAAATGCAGAATTGTGTCTGCATCACTCCCTCCCTCACCTGCATCAAGATGCACCTTTCTACAATACACAGTGGGTTTCAACTTCACACGGGAGAACCATTTGCGTCAAATACAACTACAAACAGGGTCAAATAGTGTATGTTGTAAACACAACCAGCTCAGGGTCCTTAGCCTCTCCCTGCCTAAATGTGGAGTCCCAGAGAGAGGCCAGCCTGATGAGGGGTCCAGCTCCTCAGAGATGAGGGGCTGTATACACCATACAGAACACTTTCCACTTCTCTCCCCCCCCCTCCATATAATAAAAGCCTAGGTGGCATCGTGCGATGTTGTCACAAAATGGCTACTGCAAGATGGCCACCAAAAGATGACCGCCACAAGATGGTCACCACAAGATGGTCACCACAAGATGGCTAGCAGGAGAGCAGTTAGGCATCAATCAGGTCGGCAGGGGAGCAGTTAGGGGGTAATCAGGCTGGCAGGCAGAAGTGGTTAGGGTCAATCAGGCAGGCAGGCAGGCGAGCAGTTTGGAGACAGCAATCCTGGATTGTGAGTCAGACATCCCCAGAGGGATCCCAGATTAGAGAGGGTGCAGGCCAGGTTGAGGGATACACCCTCCCACGTGCATGGATTTCACCCTCTAGTATACTAGAGGCCTGGTGAATGACATTCATGCACATGGGGTGGAGGGGGTGAGGGGTGGGACCACTCAACCTGGCCTGCACCCTTTTGCAGTCTGGGAGCCCTCGAGGGATGTCCAACTGCTGGCTTAGGCCTGCTCCCCGTCAGTCGGACATCCTTAGTGCAGCTGTGCTCACCAGCCGTGAGCTGGGCTTCTGGCTGAGCAGTGCTCCCCCTGTGGGAGTGCACTGACCACCAGGGGACACCTCCTA